AGTCATAGTGGTTCTTCAAAGTTTCTCTTATACCTCACATATTTAGGCCGAATCTCTGCTGCCTATTTCCTAGTTGGTTTCATTACAATTCTTTAATGCATATGTTATTGCTAATATATAACTTAGAAAGCTTACTTCTATCCTTGCTTTTTTTTCACTACTTCATCTCCAGAATTTTCCAGGTTGGTGTACTACAGAAATGAGAATTATCTGGTTTCAACTTGCACATTGAATATAAGAACATCTCACAGTGAAATCTCATCCTTATGAAATCTAGCCATGAACAAAAGTGAGGATGTCACACAGATGTTCAAAGTCCATCCACTAAAGCTCCTTCCCTTTGTTCACTGGAAAGCCATCAGGCCCCTTTCAGCCTTATCTGCCCTTATTTCACGTAGCATTCTAATAAGAAGATTGCTGATTTCCAAACCCAACAGATTAGAAGTGCCAAGTTGGAATAAGTGTAAAAGTTGTGTTATGGACTGTATTGTCTCTCCAAAATTTGTATGCTTTTAGGAGTTAGGTTTAGATGAGGTCATGAAAGTGGGACCCCTAGTGATGGGATTAGTGCCCTTATAAGAAGAGACACCAGAGAGCTTGTACAGCCCCCTTGCCCGCATCACAGCAATAGGGCAGCTACTTACAAGCTGGGGAGAAAGCTTTCCCCAGAAACCATCCATGCTAGCACATTAATCTTGGACTTCTAGCCTCCAGAACTGTGAGACAATAAATTTCTGTTGTTTAAGTTGCATATTTTGCTATGGTAGCCTGAGCTGACTGAGACGTGGTAGAAGCCTGGAAAAAAGGAAGCTCTTAGTTTAACAGGGAGAAGGAAACAGGAAACTGTGGGGTAGGGGGACACAAGCATGGCCTTGGGCACCTGATTTCTGTATAGTGATGTTCAGCTGTACAGAGCATCAACTGAATAGAGCTTGAGACTTCTCAGGTCACAACATAGTATAATAAATGATTTTCATAATAATGACCCTGATATATCAAGAAAGGGTTGAATTGTGTTCTGTTTAAGGCCATAAAAGATTTAAATCTATATTAGAAATATTTCTATCCAAGATAATTGAAATTGTTGTTGAACTAAGTTTTCTGCTATTCAGAATGCCTTGTTCCTCATAATTTCCACGAGCCTTTTTGAGTTGTTACTCTATTTCTTATTTTTCAAAGCAAAGGGGGTGAAGGTAAGTTTCTACTTTCCTTGTCCTAAAATGATATTTGAAACAGGCTCATAGACTTGTATCATCCTCAAACCAGGAACAGGTGATTTCCAACACTTCCCCAGGTTTTCTAAAAAGGAGGGAGACATGCAAAGCTTTTCTGCGAAGGCTGAGGTCACGGTCTTGGGTCCAGTCACAGATGGGCTGTGGGTCTTTGCTCCTAAATCTAACAGTAAAAAATGGGAAGAGAATTTCTTAGATTATATAACCTATTAATATAATTTTTAAAACTATCTATTTCTCTGTCATACAAGAAGAAATATAAAGCTTAAGTAATTTATAAAATACACAAGTACTCAGGATTTGTCCAACTTCTAGACCAAAAACCAAAACAAACCACCTGTACCCATTTCTGTAACACTTCCCTAGGGGGCAGTAACACCACCATCATCCCCACCCACCCACACCTCCACTGAAAAGCAGTGCTTTAGGGCAAATGTTTGGTGGTCCCTGTTGTATAAACTGCTTGCCAAACCATCTGCTCTTTGCTCTTATTTTATATGTATATGAGTAGCAGTTACCTTTTTCACTTTAGACAGCTCACTCCAGCTCTTGGGATCATTGAGACTGTGGTAGAGTGAAGAGTGCTGGACACCACAGGCTTAGTCCAGTTCTTTTTCTGGCTAGCACTGCTCTGGGTCTCAGCATCATCTGTCAAAATGATCTCCATAGCCCCTTCCATCCATGTCTTACTAATTCATCTATTCTCAAACCACTGTTACTGGGATTCTGGAAGGATGAAGTTGGGTTCTTTCTCTCGGTCTTATGGTTCTCAAATTTTAATGAACGTAAGAATGACTTATGTTCCATAAAAGGAGCTTGAAAATATGGATTTCCAGTTCTACTCCCAGGGATTCTGATACAGTTGGACTATTGTCGTAAGCGTCCCAGGTGAATCTGATGGCGGTATCTACAGGTCACAACCCAAAAAATACTGTCCTAGTACCAAATATGGCACAATATTTTCCTTTATTATAGAGAGGCTGAGATCCAGTTATTTTCATTTCTTATAAACTAAAAATATGACTGTGCAGTGTAGTTGTAGCAGAACTAGATAGTAATGGGGGAGGCAAGGGCAACATAACCTAAACGTTTGTACCCCCATAATATGCAGAAATAAAAATTAAAAAAAAGAAAGTTGATATCCTTTGGAGTTGGTTTGAAGGCCTTAAACGTTTTGTTTTGAAATACCTTCATGTGCTAATAGATGCCCATCTGAGGACATTTGGGTTCATTTTCTTTCTGAGACACTTAAGTCGATCTTTCCTACGATTAGCTGATTTTGTTGTATTGTCTAGAGAAAAATATGTTTAGTACTTAATTCTAGTTGTTAAAGCAAAGATGAGGGGAGTGGAAATTACTTATTAGCATTATGTGCAAAAGTGTGATGGTACCACTGCAGGCAGGTATTAATCCCAAGAAAATCATTGATTTTGTAAACTCATTTCCCAACTATTTAGCTTAATATTGGTATTATTTCTTTAAGTATTTGTCTCTTCTTTGGAAGGACTCTGGAGTTTCTATTCTTGTAGTAGATGCCTTACTTTTTTCCACTTGTTTCCTCACATTTCAAATAGATGTGTTAGGTTGTTCTCCTGTTTCCTGGGATGTAGCTATCACATGTTGTTTGAGGAAATCTGTCTGAACATGACTCTCCCTATTATAATATGACAGCAGTGTTCCTTTTTTGTTCACTTGAGAATCTAAAAACATTTACAGCAGATAGTATTTAGATTCTACCTCTTTAAGCTTGGTGATTTTGTACATAATTATACTTTTACATATAATACTGCCTTTAATTTGAATGCCTAAACCCTTAAAACAGGTTTTTCTTTTCTCAAGCTCGGTGCTAGCAAGATAGTTCCACATGAGTACTTCCCTTTGTTACTTGGACAGGGTTGGCAAATATGCTGGGCTGCTATTCACCTCCTTTAACAGATTTCTCTAAATGGTCACTACATTCTTTCTTACTGAACCAGCCATAGTCTTAGAATCAGCAGCAGAGCTCCAGGCATTTGCTACATTTGGCCAACAGCAGGCATCTCTAATTGTCACTTAGTTTTATATCCTAAGCTATTAGTATAAATACCTTGGGGAGACCATGACAAAAGGAATAGACAGCATCAGGTTTTCTTCCACCACCTCCCCTCAGTTTTGCTGAGAGATTATTGACAAATAGAATTGTATAAATGTAAGGTGTGCAATGTGGTGATTTGATAAATGTATATATTATGAAATAATTACTACAGTCAAGTTAGCTAACACATCTGTCATCTCATATAGTGACCACTTTTTTCTGGTAAGAACAATTAAGATACACTGTCTTAGTAAATTCCGAGTACGTATATGATACAGTATTGTTAACTGTAGTCACCATACTGTACATTAGATCCCCAGAACTTACTCATAATTGAAAGTTCGTACTCTTTGACCAACATCTCCCCATTTCTCCTACCTCCCAAACCCTGGCTACCACCATTCTATGCCCTGTTTCTATGAGTTTGACTTTTTTATAATAGGTTCCACATAAAAGTGAGATCATGGAGTATTTGTCTTTCTCTGATTTATTTCACTTAGTATAATGCCCTCAGTTTCATCCATGTTGTCACAGATGGCAGAATTTCCCTTTTTTGTGGCTGAATAATATTCCTCTGTGTGTGTGTGTGCGCGTCTCGAGCGTGTGTGCGAAATTTTTTTTATCCATTCATCCATTGGCAGATATTTAGGTTGTTTCCATGTGTTTGCTATTACGAATAATGCAACGAACATGGGAGTGTAGTTACCTCTTTGAGCTACTGATTTGATTTCTTTTGTATATATACTCAGAAGTGGGATTGCTGGATCATATGACAATTCTATTTTTAATTTTCTGGGGAACCTCCACACTGTTTTCCATAATGACTGCACCAATTTACATTCCTACCAACAGTGTACAAGGATTCCCTTTTCTCCACATCCTTGCTACCACCTGTTATGTCTTGTCTTTTTGATAACATCCGTCCTAACCGGTGTGAGGTAGTATCTCATTGTGGTTTTCATTTGCATTTCCCTGATGATTAGTGACATTGAGCACCTTTTAATGTTCCTGTTGTGGCCATTTGTAAGCAGCAGGTTTTCATAACTCTTTATTAGTTAAAGTGTACTCTTCAGAACTATCGTTTTTAAAATATTCAGGTAGCACTTACTGGATTGTTATGTAGAATAGAGAGGGGCTTCCAATTCTAGCTTCTACTATAGCTTTGTCTGGGAAAAATGTCAGTCTCAGTGCTTCTTTGGAAAGCCTTTAACCTAAAGGTGGTTATCTGTTTTTTCCCATACTTGTTTATTCCTTCATTTAAAACTTTTATTTTTGAAGATCTTAATGTTAGGACCTAGGTCACATATGAATAAGACGTAACCCTGGCATAAGGAACTTGAAGTCTATCTAGAGAGGCAGATAAACAGGAGTTCTATAGTAGGTGATGTGTGTTGAGTAAAACAGGGGGAAAGAATGTTTTTAAAAAAGAGGAGAGGGTGGCTTCACAAAGGAAGTGATGTTGGAGCTGAGTCTTGAAGGATAAGCAGGAGTGTCCCCAACAGAAGGGGAAGAGAGGGCATTCCAGGTGACAGAGGAACCTGCTCACAAGCAGGGAAGTTACAGCTTATCCTTTAGGCTTTAATTATAAAATCCGTAAAGTAGAATTAGATAGAATTTGAACTGAGTTTCTGGGTAGTATTATATGTTGGTAGCCCCTTAATTTGTTTCAAACTCTTTTCAACCCTGTTTTCTAGGAACTCGAATCATTTATGATCGAAAATTTCTGTTGGATCGTCGCAATTCTCCCATGGCTCAGACCCCACCCTGCCATCTGCCCAATATCCCAGGAGTCACTAGCCCTGGCACCTTAATTGAAGACTCCAAAGTAGAAGTAAACAATTTGAACAACTTGAACAATCATGACAGGAAGCATGCAGTTGGTAAGAGAATGACAGTTCTGGGGACCAAGAGGGTGGTTCCTGGAATTTGAATGTCTGTTTGCTGTAGGTCGAAAAAATGTTGATGCTTCAGTTATAACTGATGTTCAACTATGTGTCTCTAAGGTTCCCCCTCCTCCCCCAAAGGTTTATGGAAACCCTGAGTTCTAAATCATAATCAAATCTAATTGAGTTGTCCAGAGTCAGAATGATAAAACCCCAAAGATGACTCGGTGAAGCATGCCTTAAGGACTACCTGGCCTAGGCTTTGTTGGACTAGAGTAACACACACACAGAAAACAGAACAATTTCATAGCCCCCATTTCCATTACCCTCAGGTGATAGACCTTGTTTCTTACAAGAAGAATGTCCTTTTTATGGTGTAGGGGAAAGCAGTATGGTTTGTTTCCCCCATTTTCCAGAACTGCCTCTAATATTTACATAAACACCCCCCCCCTTTAGTAATGAGTCCTCTTGATCTCTGTTGAAGCAGAATGGTGAGGTGGGAATGGACAGCTCCTGAAGTACACCTCAGGGCCTGCACTTGGTGACCCCTGGACGTGAGCCAGCATTCTGCTTTGTCAAATTCCAAACGAATTTTTAATGGACAAAGTGTCAATTCAGAGCAGGGCCAAAGGTCAAAGCGTCCAGAAGAATGTGCTCACCTAATGGATAGCAGAGAGCTCCCCCAGGAGCTGCTGTTTGGTCATCCTGTGGACATAGGGACACTTGGAAAGGTTTCACTTGTGTCCTTTCTCCCCATGAGTGATGGGACTGCCATTCTTTTTCAGATTGAGACAAGCCAAACCAAAACAGAATAATTGTTTAAAGGTAGCAGAGAGTGGGACAGTCTGAATTATTTTTTGCATCTCATATAGAGAGAATGACAATAAAAACTCTTTCACTTTTTTTGTGTGTGACAAACTTTTCATTTTATTTGTCCTAACTAGGGGATGATGCTCAGTTTGAGATGGACATCTGACTCTCCTGCAAGGATTAGAAGAAAAGCAGCAACGCTGATACTTGTGTGTACCTGATTTGCCAATAGGATCAATAACGAAAAGAAGAGGCAGCACCAGCAGGCCCGTTGCAGTCTCCACCTCCCCTCCCCCTCCCTTGCGTGCCAAATGATGGGAAGATGAGTGTCATCTGACCATTCTTCTCCCTGTTTCCTGTTCCCATTCCCACTTAGACAGACTAGATTGAAGGCCCTTGGTGTATTTCTGTAGAGCTAAGCAGCCCATAGAGGAAAACATTAAACTGTGGCTTCCCTGGTCATTTTTTATTGAGAACCAACCCCTTCAAATTTATCTCAGATCAGATATCAACCTACCAACAACTGCATGGCCGGGAAGTCTGGGGAAGGGATACAGAGGTGTGGTGGGTTCATCATCGTTCATGTTCCTTACCCTCTGTGTCTCCTCCTTGTATCCCACCTGTGGTTCAGTGCTGTGAGCGTCTGGTTTGGAGTCTTTAAAATCATCAGGGAGATATGATACAAAGAGAGCTGCTTTCCCTTTTACCTTTGTCCTTAGGGACAGCACAGTTTGTGTAACTCTCGTAGCTTACCTTGTGACACTGTTTTGAGGTCCACTTCCCTTCTTTGCTCTGGGAGGAATGTCTTCCCATTCCTTTACTTTTAAACCCTCTACATCAGAAGGGAGCCCTCAGTAACCAGCTTTGGTCTTCTGTCGTTCCTCCCTCCTTGCATCTTGTTGCTGGGAGAGTCCTTTTGTACTTCGAGATATCTAGGTGATTTTGTCTGCTCCCAAAGCAGGTCCATGCCAAGTAATAGAGGCACTGTGGCCTCCACTTGGTGCATTAGGCCTGATCATAGTATTCTGCCAGACAGTACCTAAGAATGACCTCTGAACAGTGTTGACCCATTTGAGTACCAAGTCTCAGTAATTATTTTTAAGTCCAATGAGCATTGTGATATTTGTTCTTGGATTGTAGTTTCTTATGTTTTGAACTTAAAGTTGATTTTCAGAATGTTCCTAGAAAATAACTATATTTTTTTCCTTTGTGGACCTGCTTTGTTTGGCTGCTGGGATAGATAAGCATGGGCTTTAAAATGTGTTCCTCCCAGTTTTCTTGCCTTTCCCATTCTTTTCTTCCCGTCCTCCCCTGCTCCCTCCCTCTCTTCCTCTCTCCTTCCTTTCCTTTTCTCTGCCAGGCCATTTTTCAAATTTACATCAAAGATACCTCAAGTGTTGGTATCTGCTAATATCTGTCACTCCTCTTATCTGAGGAGTGGCCTTTTATTTTTAAGATGACTACAGACCTATTTTTAGATATGTTTTCAGTACAATTTTGAACAGCAACTTTTTAATGAAACATCTTCCAGTGTTAGGAAGGTGAGAAGTGTCCATAGGCAAGTCTGCTGTTCTATGTTACCATCCTTCGTCTCCCCAAGTCCCTTAGGAGCTCCTTCCTTCCTCCTGTAGTTTTGGGTGTGCATGTTTGGAGTTTGTAGTGGGCGATTTGTAAAGCTGGACCATTCTGCCTTGCTACGGGTGTCCATGAAAGCCTCATTCTTTTCCTTACCCCTTTGCTTTTGCATTCCTCCTCCCCACTTCTCCTGGGACTATTGACTGGCACAATAATCTCAGGAGAGTGACTTCCCCCCATAGAAAGACAACTAAAGTAGCCCCTAGCGTCCTGGGAATTTCTGGTTGGGTTTGGTGCCCTGCACCCTCTTATTAAGAAATCACATCCCAGGGTGAGAGTAACAGGCCAATTGGCTAAGAAAGAAAGCTGTTTGTTTTTCTTTTGAACTATGAAAAGACCCTGTTTGTGAATACATTTAGAAAGAAGAGAGGAAGGATGTCTGCAGAACTTTGTTCTGGTTTTTTGCTACAAATGTGAATAGTTCAAAGAGTGAAAACCTTTTGTGATGGTTGAAGTCTCTCAGGAATAAGCTGGATCTCCAATGTTTTGGGGATGCTCTGAGTCTCAAAAATTGATAATCAGAAAAGTATTTTTTGTTTGTTTAATGTAACCCTGTTCAGATTTTAATTAAACTCCAAATTTCGTCTCACATACTCTTGGAAAAACTTAAGTTGCGCTGTAATTTGCATAAGAAACTTGCTCAGGACTTCTTTGTACCCTGGGGAGCTTGATTCTTTGGGAATGAAGCTTTTCATTCTTTGTACACTGGCCTTGGCATCCTATGGAATCTGACTCCAACTAGCAGCTAGTCAGTCCGTCGGTGAGCAGAACAGTATGCTCTTCTTAATCCTTATTATTGTATATGAAAACTTGGCTTCCTTACTGAACAGTGGGGAGTGGATTTAAAACATGAGAGCTTAAGTAGTATCAAGATGCTATTTTCCCCTTTCTTGCCGTCTTGGGGCAAGAAAGCTCTGCGCGTGGTCCCCTAACCAGAGGACATGTTTCTAGTATTTCTGGGGAGTGTTAGCTGTATAATACAGCAGCTATCCAATCCCTTGTCCTTCTCTGCAAGGACTTCCTTGCTGCTTGGTGCAGTTTTTTCCTCGAGTCCACCACTATTAGACTTTGACCTCCATAAATCAGCATTTTATTTTAAGTTTTTTATAGAGACAAGGTCTTATTCTGTTGCCTAGGCTAGAGTGCAGTGGTGTGACCATAGTTCACTGAAACCTTGAATTCCTGGGCTCAAGGGATCCTTCTGCCTCAGCCTCCCAAAGTGCTGGGATTATAGGCCTGAGCCACTGTGCTTGGCCAAATCAGAATTTTAAAAATGATTTCATAAGGCATGCGATAAATTAACAACAGATGATACCTTTGTGTCATGCCTCATAGAATTGTTTTTAGACCAAGCCAGAGTCCAGTAGGTGGTTTACCTCTGGACCTCACAGATGAAGGAAGGAACCTCACAGATGAAGCCCTAAATGAATAATACATCCTGGCTTTTTTGGGAGGGAAGAAAGACCTTTAGGTTACCACTTAAATTAGATGATTCTTATTATAAAGTCTTCATGACCATTTTCTTTTTATGAGGAAATCATGTTTCTATACTTATGGAGATAGTCAGTCTTAATAGAAGTGACCTCCCTCCAAATCCCAGCAGGAGACCTGCATTGCCATGGTTCTACTTTGTTTATAGGTGGTTCATTGAATTCACCAGTTCTCATATTCTGTTTAAATAGGTATAGCATTCTCAAGAGCAGAGGCATAAAGAAGCTGGCTTCTACGTATTGGGCTTCCAAGCCGAGAGTTTTGTCCTTCCACCTATATTAGTTATCCATTGCTTATGACAAATTACCTCCAAATTTAGTATCTTAAGATAATAAACAGGCCAGGCGTGGTGACTCACGCCTGTAATCCTAACACTCTGGGAGGCCGAGGCAGGAGGATC